GACATTTGAAATTCACTCAGGCCTATAACCGAGAATACCATGTTACCCATGCTTTTTTTATTCCAAAATATAACAATTTTTGTTATATAAAACTATTAATAATTATATTTATAAAGTTTATACAAGTTTTGTTTTATATGATATGAATAGGCTGTTTAATATACGGACGGATTTGATTCGCCAGGCCGCCTCCATTTTTACGCCATTATATAGATGTATATTTTTGATAATATTAGAGCATTTGCAACATCGTGGGAGGCATTATGCAAATTGTCTTACCTGTAAACAGTGACCAAGACAAATACACCTTGTCCTGTCCCCGGTTTGCTTAGGTTTACGACCTTGTGTAAAGTCCGATCATTTCCTTCACCAATAAAGGTGCCGATCGAGTCCAACTTAGTTACGCCGACATACCATTGTTAAAAACTTATCAGCTAAAATCAAATCCATACAAGTTTTATGATGTTTACACAAAGATTTTAGTTGAGATTTTTTGTTTTGTGACGTATTATCAATTGCATTATAGACAAATATGTAAAAGGAAATTCACCGTGTTAATGTTTCAATCGTTCGACAAACTCTTGTAAGTTTGGGCCTCAGATATATGTAATTTGTCAATCTAATAGGCCAGAAGGTGATCTGTGAAGGTGAAGGGTCTAGCAAGCCGGTTTTCTCACGATGTTTTCCTACACCGTTCAAGCGAATGTTAAATGCGCACATAGAACGAAAGTTCATTGGTGCACAGCCGGTGGTGGAACCACGACCTTAGGGATGAGCGTCGCACGCTGAAGCCACTAGGCCAACTCTTTACTTTTACAGTCCAATATGGGGTATATTATATAATATATTCTTCACTTACAAGATAGTTTTTATTTAATCAATATACTTTTACGTATTCCCGAACATGGTAAAGACTATTGACATATATGTCCTTTTATTTTCCTGGGACTATATTTCATGGGATGCCGACCCACCTGTCGTCACAGGCTCCAAACTTGTAACACTGCTCACGCTGCAATCGTTTATGGTTAAGACAAATTTCTGCATCAATATTAATACGCAAATAGCATCAATCTTCTATACTGATTGTTTCAACAGCAATCGAACCCAGAAAGTTTTATGTAACCATATACTTTCATTGTTAAAAATATCTTTGTGTACCTACTTATTTATTTCGTAATCCTCAATAATAAATTATATATAACCAAAAACAATTATACTAAAGATTTGTTTAGTTATTAGATAGTATATGTAAAATTGTAATATTAGCGTGTTTTATTAATTAAGTTCAATATCAGAATAAGCTTATTAGACTAAAATAAGGACGGCAGTCTGATGGCGACGTGTATTCGTTCGTATATATTAAGTTTCTCAAGTAAAAAAAGATACATTTTTGTAATTAGAAATAAAGTTCTTTAAACATATATTTCTGTTTATTTTAGTTATGTTTTCTATTATTCCTTTTATAAAAATTCAAATTTTTCTTATCTGTGAATTAATATATAAGGATTCTCTAATTATAACCTATATCTTTTTATCTGTATCCTGTATCTGTCATGTCTGTTATTTACTCCTTGAATAAATAAATACTCTATGACTACTCCAGAACTCTATGTTCAAAGTTAATTAACGTAAAATGTTATCTTCAATATACCTCATAAAAATAAAACACAAAACAATAATTAATGCATATATATTTCTTTAATAACATGAAAAAAATAAACTGTTAAAGTGAAAATTATCGCAATTGAACGCAGTGAGCCGGCAACCACCGCTCTCCAAATGCCAAACCAACAAAAAAACGGTCAAGAGCGGTGCCCACGGCATGAGGTTATGTCCAAAATCAAAAGCTGCTCAATTACTGCTGTCTATGGATAACACAGACTAAGCGCTAAATTCCTGTCAAAATTGTATTGTTTTTTGACATTTCATTTCCCGCTAAATCTTTAATTCACCCCCTTTGAGCAGGACCTTAGCCAAGAATATCCACTATCAGATGTGAATGATCACGTGTCCACTTTCTAAGAAATTCCGCGAGCCTTTGTTAAATATTCTTGGCTAAGACAAGGACATTACCCAAGTTAACACAGTATATACAGAACCCACTGCCATACAGTCAAGCCCAATATATCCAGTTCTAACTAAAACATGATTACACTAGACGAGCCTTAATTATCAAAACCTCCGAGTAATTCCGACTTCGCACGATCCTTTGGCGGGTTAAAAGCATTTCTCTGGTACATTTACTAACAAAATAATATATACATTGGGCATATAGAGCGAGAGTCCAAACTTAGCACTCCCGTATGTCATACAATACATTTTTGACATACACAAGTGATACTTAGCGCTAAATCTCGACTCTAAACCCTTAATTTTTCAAAAATGGAACGTTGAATCGCATTGCTCTATTGTAATTGGTCAGGAGCGACCAATTACAATCTACACGTGGTTCCATTCCCAAACAAACGAATCACGGGATTGTCTTTTGTTTTCCGTTCATAAACCCCACGATGACGTTCCGTTTTTCAAAAACGCATTCCAAATTTGAATTCTAGCTGCGCAGCATTTAATAACAGGGTAGCATGGTATTTTTTGTGAATTTCACAATATCCACAAAGGATCGTACATAATCTAAAAGGCAGTGAGCGATGTGCACGTATTATACACGAGGACGCAAAATGTGCACAATTATATGTCGCCTTATAGCCGCATACAATAAAATAATTACATCTATTAAGCCGTAAGCTGATAGATCAACCGCGAGTATGTTAGAAGATTTGATCAAAACATCTTAAACATGTTAACAATACAACGAGAATGCTAAAAAAATGTTAACTGTAACCATAGATCCCTAGAAGACCCCACCCTCCTACAAAAGACACTTAGTCTTGTGACTACCAAGCCGAAACATTTATTATTCCTTCGAAAGAACCCCTGGATATAACGTTATCATTGCTTTAAAAACGAGGCCTTATATTTACGACCCGTAACAATTACGGCTGGATATTATAGAACTCGAAAAACAACCACAGTTAAAATGTCATGATCAAAATGAAAGCCCGCATACAATATTAAAAACTATGTTTGTGCTCCGCCAGAGCATACTCAATTCCAACGTGAAAACATAATATAAAAATGTTGTTAGAACAAAAAAAAAACAATAAATAAAACGACCCTGAATTACTATTTAAAAGTCAAAATAACTCCATTTTTTAATTCTCTTTAACGAACACGTGTTCGTCGTACAAACGAGATCACAAATAATTTTAATTTCTTCAGAACCAAAGCGCCGGTCTTTAAATTCCAATAGCGACTTATTAGAACAAAATAACTAAAAATACAATAAATTTACTTTAATTTCCATATAGTTCTCTCAAAATCACTTCTAAAGTATGATAGACTTTTCCTTATGTCCGAGACGGACCTGCACCGTTCAAGGCCTGGGTGCAAACAGACACAACCCAGCCGAGGCTTTTGGAAGGGAGTCAGTGACTGCTGAAGTATCAGCCTGTAATTAGATCCCCTATACATTATAGTCTGTGTATACGGAACAAAAACTCAACATGTCCACAGTCGCTATTGAGAGGTAGACTACCAACGCCTTTTCACAGAGTATGACAACGAAACAAAAGTTTTTAATATCAGAATTATTTTAACTTTAAAATCTTTACAAATCCTTGATTTATTAGAAAGTACCAACTGAAAGTACAATGCGCGATTTTTACAATATATTTGATTAGATCAATAGTACAACAAATAAATTTACGTTGTATGGAACGTGACGAGAGAAGAGAATTTAATTGAGGTGAAAAGAAGATAGAGACCGTCTAGCCTCAGAGCCTTCTACAATTAAAAACTAGTATAATAAGAAATTATACGACTAGTAGCAACTACGATTGGTTTATGAATATTGAATTCGGGTGGTGGTCGTCGTCGCTGTACAACATAGAAGTCGATTCTATAAAACCTTGTATATGTGCAGAATTAATGACTATGTTAACCAAAATAAATAAATGAACTAAAGATATTATTTTGTTACCAAGATTTTTTTTTAATAATTTCTGAATAGAAAAATCTAAGTTTAGGCGCGCATTGTATTTCCATTAAATCACAATCTATAAGCCTGCCGCGAAAGGCATCCCACCCCTAGAATGATCAAAACATAATATTTTTCCCAAAATAAATATTAATTATTATCAAAATTATTCGTTTTAATATGTCAAATCATTCAACACCAATATCCCGCCTTGTTGATATTTCACTGAAGCACTTTCGTCTCTTTCTTACAAATTGTGTTTACGTTGTGTTGAAAAGAGACGGATTAATGAATAAGCTAATTTAATTTCGTAATTTTTGACAGATCAATAACGACTTTGACAATAAATTTGACACATTAGCAAAGTTTTTTCGATTGTTAACTGATAAAACATTTCTAACTTGGACCCCAAATCTGTTAGTTAAATTAAATAGTTTAACTTTAATCCAAACTAAATTGGATAGTATCAGTTAGGTAGAATAACCAGCAATTCTGGAGATATATTAAGGGTCAAACAGTTTTTTTTCCTCGATTAACGTCAGCGAATAAATACAAACTTTTTATATACCCACAGACTATTATTATTAATTAATTTTTTTTACATAATAACGCGTCAATATTCCAATTTTAAATTATTTTAGTATGATTAAGTAAAGAAGTGGGCTTTTCAATATTAATCCAAAATAAAGATAATACCGTGAGCCACTTTTTAAAGAAATTTAACCTATAGTCAACTCCTAAACATGTAAAGGAAATATCGGAACAAAAATGTATACAATTGTATGTGATAAATCTCAAATATACGAGTTGGGGTCCAGAATAAAAAAACGTATTCAAAATCATACCTGTCAAACGTCATTTAAATTTGACAATTGACTGCTCAAAACAAGTGAAATTAAACGGGCGATACACGATGGTAATAAACATAACAAAATCTCATACTAGGGGTATTAGTGGTCATTCAGTCCTTAGAAGATGTGTCCATGGGGCTAGCTGGTTGAGGCATCGCCGGGGACAGAGCCGGGGATAGTGGGGCCGGGGCCGGGGCGGGGGCTTCAAATGGCCCCCGGGGCAAACCAATCACCCCCGGGACGGCCGGCTTTACGAACCGCTCGCTTGGCCGACGGCTTTGCTGTAAATAGAATAACACCATCCAAATTAGAAAAAAATGTATGCTTGTACTAGTGTTCACACGTAAGTGAAACTTCTTTATGACAATTCTATATGCAACTTTACAGAAATTGGTTAAATAAAGTTAACTTAGATAAAGTTTAAAAAAAGACTTTTACTATCATAGACATATATAAAATATAATAGTATAAGATCCCGATACACAATGACCTTCACCGAGATGCTTATTTAATGAAACGTATTTTATATTTAATTAAATATGTCAATAAATATAATTCATATGGGTTGCCTAGCAAATTTCAGTCCAGAGTATGTTTAATTAATATTTAAAACAAATTATTTTTTTATAATTTGCATGTAGTAATTTTTTTTAATTTTTTTCAATCAATATTTTTAATCTGGGTAGTATTATATATGTATCACTATAACTTTCTTTTTTACTAAAGATGTATAATATATATACTTTAGTGTCACATAAAAAATATACACATAAATAATTAATTGATTAAAAACAACCTAACGTTTGCATATTCTATGGGCTTCATACTTTCGATTGGTATAGAATTTATCTAATAATCATACCGGTGAAATGTTTAAAAAAATAATATTTTTTTAATATTAATTAAAATACTCTGGACTGAAATTTGCTAGTAAATAATATTAATTTAATATGTTAAATTCGTATGCGGTTAAAACGCATCTAGATGAGCCTCGTAGACACACACTGACATAATATCATTGCAATCATGATTTTTAGATAAGTGAGCGAGATTTATGTGCCTGACATATTTCATCTTAGTTTCTTACTAATAAATTCAAATTAAGAAAATCGGCACATAGAAACGACCCCGAGTTAAAAATCGCAAGACTTTTTTTTGTCATCCATACAGGTGACAACAAATGTAATGAAACTTATAAAGCCATCTTGCATTTATTCATTCATTTTTTATTTTGAAAAATTACTCAAAATGGTTCTCTTTAAGGCCCTATCACCTCCTGGAATACGTCGAATTTCCAATAACCCTGTATACATACCACTTTTTAAAACAGCCAAAACAAACACGGCCTTATAAAACGCGGTCTAAAGTTAGTACGGTAACCATTAAATATCGTACATTGACGTAACCATGGCAACTGCAAGCATTGCAAACATTGCACCCGACCTCCTCTACAAACTATTCATTCTAAAAGGACGTAAATTCTTAAATAGCAGCCATTTCTAAATTAGCTTAAATAAATTTTTTACCTGCGAATTGAAATGCAATACTGGTCGAGATAGAGGTAGTCCTGTGGGCATTAAAGGCGTGGCGTAGGGCGACAGTGGCCGCGACCCACCCGGGGATGACACGCTGCGTGATCGCGCCTGCAATAATATTATAAATCAATAAGGAAAAGATTTTCATCAATTGTAGTACAGATATATTATTGATAATAATATTTATCATTTAGAAAAATGGTGTACGTAGCGCCATCTAGTAATAGTGTTTAAACTTAAGTTCCTGATTGTCTGTGTAATAGGTTTTGGGGTGTTCTTGGTTATCGTTTGTAATGTAGTGCGTGTTTTTTAGTTGATTGCCGGCTTTTTAAGAATTGTTACGCTCTTTTCATGAAGGACCCTAAGTCGAATTGGTTCGGTAATACTTCAGTAGGCAGCTGGTTCCACAGAGTGGTGGTGCGCGGCAAAAACTGTCTTAAAAAACGCTCAATTGTGGAACGACGGACGTCGCGGTGATACGGATGGTATTTTGTAATCTGCCTTGACATCCGATTATCTAACTCAGCTGCAGGTCCGAACAACTCCTCTGAACACTCTCCATGGTAAATGCTGTAGAAGATGCAGAGAGACCCCACTTCTCTACGCAACGCCAAGGGATCACGGTAAGTGACTGGTCGTTGACGATTCAAATCGCTCTTCGTTGAATACGGTCAAGTGGAAGGAGGTGGTACTGGGAAGCTCCCTCTCAGAGGTGAGAACAGTACTCCATGTGGGGCCGAATTTGCGCTTTATATAGTTGCATGCGGTGGCCCGGAGTGAAGTACCGCCTCGCCTTGCTGAGCACACCAAGCGTTTTGGAGGCTAATTTAAACTCGAATGACGTTCAGTTTCATTCGATATGTCAACGGCCAGTAATCCGTTGCTAGCTGAGGTTTTAAGGAGAGTGTCTTCAAAGAGAGGAGTAGCGACAAAGGGTGTTTTGTTAGCGGAAAACTTGTGTCTTTTTGGGGTTAAATTGGACTGAGTTTCGTCTGCACCAGTTTGTTCCGGTACTCAACGACAACAGTGTAAAGTGCCAGTGTAAAGAGTATCCCTAGTGCTATCGTCCGCATAGCAATGAATGTTGCTAAGTTGCAACATATCATTGATATGCAAAAGAAACAGGGTTGGAGATAGAACACAGCCTTGTGGGACACCAGCATTCACGGGTTTAAGGTCACAACTTTAATCGATGATGACGTAGCATCTTTTTTTTTAATGTTTTCTAGATAATTCCCCGACTATGTAGTCGTTGGAGGTATTAAATATCTTACATAAATGGTATTGGTAGCCCGGATGACTTATAACTACTACCTATTTCTTTTAACAACTGTTTGTATGCATTGCTTGTAAACAATACGTCTTCGCCTGTCTAATCCTGAAACTTGGGAGCCTCTGCCTCTATCTGCCTTCTAGCAGTCTGAGTGTCCATGGGAGACGGTAAGTAATATTAGCTGATCCTCCTGTTACCCCCATATAAAATACAGTACTTACATTAAAAGCCTCGTTAAACTGCCTCTCCTCTTCCATTTCGAGCGAAGACTCGCTTTCCGATAGATGCCTACACAGCGCTTCGCGTCTCTCCACCTGTCAAAAACAAAAATAACTATCAAAATGTTTGCCTTTTTTGATATTATTTATTTACACTTCGTTGCAGTAATACAGTACAATTAAAATTATTAAATAAAAAGGAGGGCAACAGGCGGTTATCATGTGTGTTTATGTGTGTGTATTTTTGTTAGTAATAAATGTTATGTCTATGTCTAAATTCAAATTCCAAAAAATTTAATAAATTTTTGAAAAGCCCCTTTTAACAATAGAATGTCCTGTTTCCCTGATGGCAAACACTGCGCAACAAGAAAACATCATGAGAAATCCGTCCATAGACCCAAAAATGTGCGTGTACTAGGTGTACACACGTGAAACTTCTGTATGATCTTATTTTTCGAAAAATGATCTACTATATGCAACTTTACAGAAATTCGTTAAATTAGATAAAGTTTAACAAAAGGCTTTTATTATCATAGACATGAATACAAATATTTCATTTTACCTTATTACTACGAAGATTATTATAGAATTTCATTAATTGTAATAGAATTATTACTATCATTGAAAAACGTGACGATTTGCTACAAAATTTCTCCCATACGTCGATAAAGAAGTTTCATTCCAACGCCGATAAAGAAGTTTGACTTCAAAAAGCAACATGGCGCGTAACCGAAAAATGCGACGCGTAACGAAAAAATGTTACACTAAATTTATTTTTAACCTCGATAAAGAAGTTTCACTTCGAAAAAATTCACGAAAAAATGTGAAGCGCCACTGGTGGTTTTTTAAAGTTAATATTAGATAGACAACCACATGTTCTGTGTCTGACGTGTAAATTTGTGTCTAAGATATTCCTCGCAGTACACCTTCAGTGTGGAGTTATCAAGGATCTCGAAACAATGGGGGTTCGAAGTTAGCAAGTACTGGATATATTGCGATGGTGAAGTGTACTTGAGGGGCCCATAAAGGGCTGTATAGCCATTGATGATGATGACACCTTCACTGCACTGAGGCCAATAATTAAAAAAAAAAATTTGCAACATATATAAGTCTGGACATTAGATTTCTGTATCCTTTTCGTGATCATTTATTTCTCTTAATAGACTAGCCTTCTGAGCTTGACACTCCCGACTTTTTGGGTGTAAAGCATACCGGTTTCCTCACAATGTACGAGCGAGAATTTAATGCGCACATAGACCGAAAGACCATTGGTACAGCCGGGAATCGAACCTACAACCTCGGGGATGACAGTCGCAACCACTAGGGCAACACAGTTGTACAGCAAATATACGCCAAATTAAAAATATTTTTTTTTACAATAAGCAGAAAACGTCTAATAGTTATGTTATGTTATTACTACTCCTACTCTTCACAAATCGCTATCCGCCGAAGAGTCGAAGGAACTATAAAACTACGTGAGCGGGACTAGACCACACCCACTAAGGTATCTTCAGATTGATCTTAAGATTCATTTTAATCTATATAAATAAAAATCAATCGCAAAATATGTTGCTAAGCTCAAAACTAGAAGACGGCTGGACCAATTCAAGTGTTTATTTATTCCATTTACTCACAGGAGATTTTTATTGAGATAAAAAATTAAAAAAATAAGAAAATATTTTATTTAGAAAAGCGTAGTCTCTATTAATTTATTTATTACTAGTGGACCCCACAGACGTTGTCCTGCATGATATTTAAAGCGATTAGGATATTAAGCAAAGTATGAAAGTACCGACTACAGTGCAATCTGCCGGGCTAATTTGTGAATCTAAACCATTCCCAGATCCCCTTGAACACACACAAAAAATTTCATCAAAATCGGTCCAGTCGTTTGAGAGAAGTTCAGTGACATACACACTCACAGAAGAATTATATATATAAAGATTATTTAGTTATTAAGCTTACGACATCACACACAGTACTAAATATACTATTTATTTTACAAAATCTTACAACTAAAATGTGTGACAATTAAAGTAAACATAAGTTTCACAAAAAAAAATAGAAATTAAAATTACAAATTAAATTACTCTATGGAGTAGCATAGCAAATGAATCTTCCATATTACAAGTCGTCGGAAATATCTGCGAACCTGGCTTAATGACGTCATACAAACTGGAGAGATAGCAAAAAAATTGAAGATGTAAAAATAAAAAATATTTTATTTGTGTACTTATTTTTATTGATATATTATAGTCCTACCCATCTTACATACAGCACTAAATAGGTAGTTTATGTAATATTTCACCAAACAGAGAAACAATAAACACTAAAATGCGATTACGAAAGCAAGAATAATACACGTGCGTCGGCGATTGCGTTGGCAACGGTACTGGATAGGCGAAAACGGGGCGGGGTGCGGGGAAGCGCATTCCAGCGAGGTTCGCAGATATTTCCGACGTGTAATATGTTGGTATTTAGCTACTAAAAAGGTAGGCTAAGTAAAAAAGACATTAAGAGGAATGATCAGGGGGCAGCTAGTAATCTTTATATATATAATTCTTCTGTGAGTGTGTATGTCACTGAACTTCTCTCAAACGACTGGACCGATTTTGATGAAATTTTTTGTGTGTGTTCAAGGGGATCTGGGAATGGTTTAGATTCACAAATCAGCCCGGCAGATGGCACTGCAGTCGGTACTTTCATGCTTTGCTTAATATCCTAATCGCTTTAAATATCATGCAGGACAACGTCTGTGGGGTCCACTAGTTAATATATAAAATACCTCTTGTTGCAGTTTTCGATGCAAGCGAATATTTTCTTCACGAATATGTTTCTCTTCTAAGGCAAAGCGTTGCATTTTCTCTTTATTTTCATTTTGAGACACCGCCAATTGGTTTCTGAAAGTTTTGTAAAAAAAACTTACAAAGATTGCCTATGGCTTAGTGGTTAAAGTAGCCCAGAATTCCGGGCTAAAATAAAATTTATTTAATTAATTATAAGTTATAACGTTATGTTCTAATAGTCATTTTTAAAAATTAATGTCATATTACTCATAGGCGACATATTAAAACTTATATAATAGAGAAAAAAAAATTATATTATTTAAAAATCACGCTATCTTGCGAGATATATTTATTTAAAGCGAAGAATAAATTAAAAATAATTCTACAATTATCTATATTGAAATATCTGTTAAGATGAATTCGAGAATTTATCAATAATTAAAATGCATTTCTTAACAAAATACTATTCCATACAACAATTCCGTACAAACGGTGGGGCAACAATTTTAAATTTAACTTTATTAATAAGCTATAAATATATATTATACTTTTTAATTATAAATATTATGTGTTTCTTAATATTTTATTTTATATTTTTTATAAAACCATTGAACACCTTACCTTAATTTGACCACTTCCGACCTCAATGTCTGAATATGATTACTAAGATTTGACGCTGTATCTCCATTACTAATGTCCCTGAAAAAAAAATTAAGGTAAAACTGCAGAACAGATAAAAAAGCCTTCATATATTAATTAAAAATAAATTAATAGAGGCCAATTACTGTGGGACTTAATAGCCATAGTTTATACAATGAAAAATTGACAAGAATATTGAATCTATAACAAAATTTCAGGATAAAGAGTTTGTTTGATGCAGGAGGTATTGGTTCTAGTTGGAAAACTCCTTATAAAGTCAATTTTGAAGGTTATCAATACAAATTAGGGGGCGTAAATTACGTGAGGTGTTTTTTTAAATTTTCTGTACCTCCCTCCCCCCCTGGTGAGATGTCGTGAGATTTTATTCATTCCCCTCCCCCATCCCCCAATCTCACGTGAGATTTTTTTAAATGTGGGTTTCTTACGTAAACGCGTTGGATTGTTATTGAAAAAAGATAAAAATTGCTTCGTGCTTTTATTTACGACTAAAACAAAATAAGTGAAATGTTGAGCGTTTAGGTATGGAGTCAGCGGGAAGTTGCAGAGATGGCCTTTAGGGTCAACCGTCTTTTTTTTTTTTCAAAAAGAAAAAAAATTGCGTGATATTTGCCGAGACCCCCCTCTCTCCAACGTAAGATTAAATGAGATTTGACTCGACCCCCTCCCCCCCTTAAACACCTCACGTAATTTATGGACGCCCCCTTACAGATAATATAAAAAAAATATGTTTATTATGGAATATAAGATACATGTATCACTTATTCCACGTCATTAAATTGAAATTGTAGGCATCCCTACTCATCGGCAAAGAAGACAGAGGGTGTAGGCCGAGAGAAAAAGCAGGCAAAACTCTCCGTACTCTTTTAAAATAATGAAAGCTGTTTATGATCTACCTGGGACTTGCTGGGTCTGAGACGGGTTGGTCCAGTCTTATTTGTAAGGAACGTTTTTCTGCTTCAAGCTTATCCATCCTCTTCCATAATCTATTCACAAGGGCTTCCTGCTCCTGTTCTAAAGTATTTTCCAATTCAACCTGAAATATAATCAATTTTATCAAAATCCTATGCAACGCTAGCGTAGGGGTAGAGCACAGAGCACAGAGATTGTTGTACCCCATGGTATATGTGTGTTATTTTCCTGTTCATTTTGTCACTATATAGTATAAAACAAAGTCGCTTTCTCTGTCCCTATGTATGCTTAAATCTTTAAAAGTACGCAACGGATTTTGATGCGGCTTTTTTTAATAGATAGAGTGATTGAAGAGGAAGGTTTATTTATATATAAAAACATCCATCAAATAGTGGAGAAATACTGTTATTTTTGAGGTTTCTAATGTGATAATTAAATGTTTTCCACTTACATTGCAAACGCAAGCTGAACCCTACGAGATTTATCAAAATAATGTTCTAAGTATTGTACACATTGAAAAGATCTACAGAAAACTCCGCGATGGTATATATATATGTCTATCTGTTATGGATATCCCACAATAACATTTTTTTGTCATTTACTTTTTACGACAAATAATGGCTAATTTTCAAAGCGATTTTAACCAATACAGCATTAATCCTTATCCAATTAAATACCTTAAATATTTGATTGTTGATTTAATATAGATATATATGGCCCTTTACAGCATATGATTTAAATGAATATTTTCGAAGATATTATAGATTTAAAAATTGCGGGACGTAGCGATTGCCGCGGTGCCGGCCGGCCGGGGCGGCGGGAGCGTGCCTGTCAATAGCGCGTCCGCGGTTCTCCCTATCCCTATCCCTAATCCCTATAGTCTAAATATATATACCACTTTGAATTTAGTATCAGCATTGCACCCGTGCGAAGCCGGGGCGGGTCGCTAGTTACTATATAAACTGGACAGACAACAGCCTCTCAACCCCTTGTAGGTTGTTCGCCTAGTCATATCCAGAAATATTAGCACTGGTTTTATTTATAAAAAGTTGTGAAGAATTGCCTTGCCTTTTACAACTGTACAATGTACTGTAGACTGTACAATGAATAAATAATGTGAACATAGTAATGAAACATGGTGACGAATGTATGGTAAAGAATATGTAATCAAGGTGATGGTTTGAGAATGAAAAAAATAATATATATTTTTTTTACAACAAATTAAACTTAAATAATCTGAAATAGCTTAAAAGTTAAAAGGTTCCACAGGTTTTCTTCAAAAGATTTTAAATACAGCATACAGTATACATTTCTTTCCTATAATATACAATGTTATTCAAATTATCAAAACTATTACAGAAGTAAAATATGAATGGCCACAAGCAGACAAGACCTTACCTTTTCTCTCCTAAGCCTTTCTAAATTAGTTTGTTTTGCAAGAGTCTCTGCTTCGAGTTTCTCTATCTTCCTCATTAATTTGTTGACCAAACATTCCTGCTCCTGTTCCAATGTTTGCTCTAATCTGCACTTTTCTTGTCGCAACTGAAAAATATTGATTAAATACATCATGCTTTAACAATTTAATACAAAAAATTGTAGGCAATAATTTTAAAGCATTCTTTTGTTTAGTATCTATAAAACACATCAAGTTATGTATACTAAACTCGCAAACAGAATGGTAAAATTTTGATAAATCAATAGTTTAAGGAAAGTTATTTACAAATTTGTTTAGGATATATATTGAGTCACCAACAACTCTCATAATTCATGGCAACTTTGGTATAAAATAACAAACAAACAATATTTCATTTTTATTAGGCTTAAAAGAAAATAAATAATTGTATATTTATATGTATTAGCAAATGTATATGTATATGGTAAACAGAGTATATTAGGGATAATTTTAATTTTACCTGATTTAATTTCCTAGAAAGATCATTTGTAAGGCATTCTTCCTCTCTTTCATAATGATGAGCAAGTGTCTCCTTTTCCTTTTTTAAGGCTTGAATTTTTTTCAATAGAGTGTTAGATATATACTCCTCTTCTTGCTCTGCTTTAGCTTGCTAAAATGAAAATGTTTAATTTAGTTCAACCTCTAAGAAAGCATGATAATGGTACAATTTTATAATATACAAAATAAACTCCATGTAATGTGAATTGAATTTATATCAAACTACCTAAGCCGTTGTCGCCGTCCCGCCCCGCTCGCTGACTGACCAGACCATTAGCCTTAATGTATAATATGATGTTTACCAGGCAAACTTCATGGTAGAATTGAAGTAAACCAATTGAAAAAAATATACTATTTAATTAAATATAAATGTGTCTTTATGATTATGCTATGGTCCTGGTTTATAAAGATTTATTTCTTCAGAATCATGGAGAGAAAGTGTTATGATTTATGAAATAATTATATTTTATAAAACTTTACTTACTATTGACACTGAAGCCTGTCGTAAGGCTCGGTTTTCTTCTTGTAGTGCTTTTACTCTTAACTTGTATGTATCAAGTTCAACCTTCAATACTCTGAAAATAATAGAAGCAAAATCCAAAGGTTTATTCTTCATAAAAAAAATAATTTCACGACAAAGCAATCCCATTTAATTTACACAATTAATTCGTTAAACGATAATTCATTCTTCTTATTGGAATGAAACTCGGAGAGAAATTTTAGTGTTAGTGATAGATTTAATTATTTTTTCAATTACCTATTTTGTTGCTGTAGTGACTCAATTCTTTTTTGAAGTTGGTCTCGTGTAACAGTGCTGGGAGGTAACATAGCTCCGCCGTCGAGAGAACTCGAATCGCTCTCCGAGGCCGAGTCACCCATCTTATGCCCTTAAAAAATATCTTGTTAGTATTAATTCTACTTACAAAACCTAGTTTACTCTCGTAAAAATATACCTGGCGAAATTACTGTATCATCCATATTTTCCTCTGCACTGTGTAAGACCGAAGACACTAACAAAATGTCATCAAGTTCGTTTTGGATTTATTACAAAAACTACTAAAATTATAATACAATTTTATTTCATAAAATTATTCAATGAGAATGTAGCCAAATTATTTGCAACTGCAGCAGTGCGACAATAAAGATACACAGGAAAATTATAAAAATCTTAAAATTTCTTTAACAAATCACAGACAAGAGTCAAGACTCCAATTTACTAAAGACTATACCAAAAATAAACTAAAAAGAATAGCTAAAACATTGACCTACAGACTATCAAGAATATAAACAAAATATTATCATGGACCCAAATTACTTAAACTTTACTTGATAATTTGAATACTAATACAATAAAAAAAGTAATTGTATAACATTTACGATAAAAAAATCTCTTTATAATTTATATATAATAATTATATTAAACAGAAAAATTATGAAACGTGATTAATCCTAGCGTGGATGAGAGATTGAGAGATGGCTTCTAAACGGGTTTTTTGAATATACATACATCATTTAGTGTAAATAATTTATATTATACATGCTGTGACAGGCCTCCAAGCAGCTGAGACGTTCATAGACAAAAGAGATTTTATATCTAGCAACAAACCTGTAAAAAACATCCAGTGCAAAGTGACACACACGCCATAATGTAAATTTGTTCTAGGTTTGGCGTTGAGATAATTTTATTTTACATTTTAATGCTATAAAATAAATTAAAACGTAAATTAACGGCATTTAAAATGTCCTTAGTAAATTATGGTAAGAAGATTAAACTATTTATTTTCGCTCAGTGCTCAAAAGTGACCTAGAAAAGTACTATTTAGGTTGTCCCTAAAGAATCGAAGCCATTCATTTTCATAGTCAGTGTAATTTTTGAAATTGTTTTTATAAGTTGTGGTACTAGTGTGTTTAAAGATTGTTGTAGAATACTGTTACAAACTATTAGAGTGATGATAATGTGTAATTTACTTCGTCGCCATAGTTATTTGTGAGCTGATCCACGGAGTCAAATCTACTGTTGTTGTACGTAGAATCAGGGCTGGGTGTACCGTTTGTGGTATCTGTCAAAGAAACAATTTCTTCACCGATGTTAAAACTTTAATCCTTATTTATTACAATAGTAATGTCTATACAATTGTGACCATAAATTTAATATTTCATTTAGCAGTTACTCTCACCACTCATTGATTTCGTAAACAGTCAACTGTATTAATAAATATTCGTTAATAACAGCGCCCGTGGTTCTCGTATGTTTTCTATATTGCTTACGAAACTCAAAAGTGTTGATTGAAAATGTTGAAATTCTTGGTAATCATGACTGAAATTTATCATTTAGATTGTTAGGTGTATTTCAGGTTAATTAACTGCCATGGCTCAATACTATCAAATAGCTGTTGGGCAAGGACATCAATTAACTCTAGAAGATTTGCAAAGATACTGTCCAAATATATGTTTAGATGGCAGAATTGTAGTAAATCAGGACGACCAGCAGTATGGCCAACAAGTGAGTAATAATGTCTTATTTGAACAATTTTTTTATGGTAGTTATAATTGCTTATATTTTACATTTTCATTTTTGTTTACACATACATGATATGATAGTAATGGCTGTTCAATATGGAGAAAATTGTAAGACATCTGATAATCTTAAGATTATCTGTGTTTATTGTTTACATAAATAAATATGAAATATATTGTAAACCAAATAAATTGTTATCTGAATTTAGTAATATTTCAATATTATAATACCTTTGCTTTATAAACATAATAGTTTTATGTCTAAAGGTTGTAGTACAACAAGCAGATCAGGGAAATGAAATTATAGTTAGTGAAGGTGTGCAAGTTCAGCCACAATTAGTTGTCAGTGAGGGATTGCCATATCAACAACAATATATAATTCGTCATGACCAGCCTCCACCACAGCCACCGCCTCTTCCACCCAACAGGCCTGAATTTCAACAACAACAGTCTCAGGGTCATCAGCAACAAACACTGCTTAGACACCAGGTAAGTTATCATATTTCCACTAATATTGAATGCATCAACCATTTATGGGGCTCTTTTATAATTCTTGTGTAGCAACTATAAACATTTAATGTAAACGCAAATATACGCCTTTAGTAGTGCCCATGTGGTGAAAATAACTGCTTGATGCATCCCATAGGTTTAGATTATTAACTATTTGTTCATGAATAATTTAATTTATAATTAATATAATATAATATAATTTATTATATTATTGGATATTCTATTGCTATCATATAATTTAGGTACATTTATGTAGCACATTAAATATTAGGTGTAAAACATATATGTATGTCCATGCAATTTATTTATAGGTATACTACACATCTGATTTACCCGTGGATACACAAGTTGTGTTTCAACATGCCCCCCAAATTGTTGATGCATCATTGATGCAACAGTCTACACCGCGTTCCCAACATGTATGTTTGTTAATCAAACTTATACATAGCATATAAATGTGTAGCAAATCACTTAGCTATACACGCAACTTTAATCTTCCTTTTGCATGTATAACTCCTCTATTTCATTCATTCATTTCAATCCATTCATTTGCTTGTCTTTATTGATTGTAGCACGTAAAAATAAATTTGTAGATATTATTAAAAAATGTCTTAATGTCCAATTGAAATGACATTGTTGATATTTGCTTTCTGTCCTTAATTTAAAGCTTATTTTTGGTATATGTGGTTAATATTTCTGTCTTCACAAGTGCTGTTATATATGTGTAGGTTTTAAATTTGAATATTATAGTATTGAATAAACTTAAGTTACTTTCGTTATCTGCCAAAGATAATTATAAATTTTATATATTTAACATGTTTATATGGAATATGTCTATATATATTTGAGTTTGTTTAATATCTTTATTGTAATGCAATGAAACAAAATATGTAATTATGTACATAACTTGAAACCACAATGTGGAACCTGTTGCCCACTGAAATATTTCCAAATCGATTAGCTTAGGGTGCTTCAAGAAAAGGTAGAAATTCTATAACAGGCGGCAACGCACTTGCCAACCTTGTAGCAATGTAAATGTCCATGTCCATGGGCGGCAGTATTACATTAAAAAAAAAAATCTTCAATACTAATATTTCATTTTACTGTTCAACTGTTTTAACAGTTTGAATACTGTTCTTTTTAATAAGTCCCCCATACTATAATAATTATTATTAATAACACACACCCACACACACGGTATTTTACAATATCTTGTAAATTTTAGGATAATTAAGGATGTATTACATGGTAGAACTGTAGACATCATTCTATATTAAATTGTTGTAAACCCACACTTCTAAGATACATTTGCTCACTCTGCTGATGATACAGATATAACACTATACATTTAATTGAAAACCTTTTCGTATTCATTTATGTCCCTACATAGATTTGTAAATAATAGTCCTAAAAAGAATGGAATTGTAACATTACATTGTCTTTTCTATACTTTCAAACTAGGGCCAAAAGTAAATGTAGTTTCAAGTGGAGAGATGATACTTAGACTATTCCTTATTTTCTAAGGTGAAGGAAAAAAATATTGTCTTTACTGTGATACTTTGTGATTACAATAATTGAACTGGTACATCTTTATTTAGAATTCATAAAAGTGTAATTATGTGCTGTTTAAGAACATTAATAGTGATACAAGATACTCGGGAATTATATCTGACCAAACTCCAAGCTTTTACACATGCAAAATGTTTGGAGTTTTAATGCATAAAAGCCTCACTTATGCACCTATGACAGCTGCAAAAGAAAATTTAATAAACCGAACAAGTGTAAATAATGTTTAAGTATTTGTTACGTGAGCTTTTTCACGTACAGTACGGCGCTCTTACAAACAGTACATAAAACGAACTAGGTACTTGGAAAGAGCTCCGATTTGAACCGAAAAAATTAAGCATGTATATCATGCATTATATAGAACGTCTGTTTCTTATCTTATCGACGGAAACGAATATTTGACAAAACTATAGAAAAATTTGTGGTAAATAAAATAAGTACTCAAATATACTTTTTCCCGTATTACATCTGAACGTTACTTAAATTAGTTTTTGCCGCGCACCATCAGCTTCCTGAAGTATATCCGAACCAATTCGACTTAGGGTCCTTCAATAAAAGAGCGTACCAATTCGTAAAAAGCCGGCAACGCACTGCGAGCCTTCTGGCACTTAACTTAACCCTCTGCCCATTTGCCCCGTTATATAAAAAAAGGTATTCGAAAACACCAATAAGTCGGTTTCGCGAAGAGGCTTTATATATTTTAAAATACTAAGTCCTTAATCTAAAAAATATCTACGATGACGGTTTGATTTACATACTGTTCCTGCTAAAAGTACGAGGGTAAGGTATCTACAAAATGTAATTGTGTACAGTTGGTGAATCCGGTGCATGTGCTGTCGTCGCCTTCGGTGCTGCACCCGAGTCAGCAGCCTCCACCGCAGCCCCCACCCCCGCCTCCACTCCCTCCGCCGCAACATGCCCCTCAGAGTGTAAGTTTTGGGTTTCTTCATATTTATCTTCTATATCTGTTTTCAGGGAACAAGGAAAATTGTATTAAAATTCAGATCTGAGTGAAGCAATTACAAAAATGCATACAATTTAATGATTGTGTGTAACGATCCTTTTAAATTTTTTTGTGCTTATAATAGGCCAAAGTGTTTACTGTGTTTCTTTCTCTGATAATTCTGCTTTGCAATATGCAACTTCACAAACAAAAGAGCTTTACTCTATTGTATGTAACATATTGCTGTAAATATTGTATTAAAAACAAAATTTCAGATTTTTTTTAGGTATGTGCTTGTTGGATATCTTTCTGAATTTCAATAATTTATGCAAAATATTAAGATATTTTTTTTCTATTGGGCTCTGCGATCATATTGTTATATTTAATTTGTTATAAATGTAATTTATAATATACTTTGTGACTACCTCTGTCTACTTTAAAG